AAAAAAAAAAAAAAAAAAAAAAAAAAAAAAAAAAACCCCAGATATTAGCCAATCCTAAATAAATACATTTTGAAAAGAGGAAGCAGATTTGAATTAGAGAAATTTTCTCGCTGGAATACAGAGGACAGAAACCTAATCAGCTAGAAAGGTAGAGTATGATCACTTAAAAAAGGATTTTATAACGTTAAAATAATGGAGTACACAGTGATAGGTTACTTCCAGGTTTTCATCCTCGTGAAGGTAGATTCAGTCAGCACAACTGAGTTTCTGAACATAGAATGGGACTAGTCTCATCAAAATTTGAGCATCAAAGATGGAGACATCACCGAACTAGTTGTTCAAGACTTTCTTTGTAAGTGCTGAGTTTTTAGAGTTATCTCATCTGGTCAGTTTATGCCTTTTTTAGGAGATCAGATGCCTTCTTCTAGGAGGAGATAAATTATGCCAAAGATTACAGTTTATTTCTTTCCATCTGTTACAATGGGAATCTAGATATCTGTAATACAAGCATCTGTAATGGGTAAAACAAGTTTCACCCCTGTATCTTGACAAAACTACCACAGAAATCACAGAAAATCTGATGTCAGTGAGAGCTGGATATGGCTTTTAATACATCATTAAGGACCTGTCCTCTCTTCTGCTTTGAAATAACACTTGAAATATTACTTTGTCTCTGAAACAATTTCCTAGTTGACTCTTCATTTAAAAAACTGCTTACGTCTTTGGGCAATCTCCTTGTTATTTCACCCTTGACACTCTGCTGAGTCATAAGGATAGCAATAAAAGCTTTCGTTTGCTCAGCATGGCCTAGAGGTTATCAGAAACGTGTAAGAAATTAGAGGAGAGGTTTTCCATATATTGCAAATGGCAATCAATGCTCAGCAAAATGGCAGAATTAATCATCCCTTATCAAAAAGCACTACTCAATTAGTTGCAATTGGGTACTTTAAATGCTTAAGAATAAAAAACTTTCCAGCTAAATATAAGCAAGTAGAGAAAAACTATCTTTAGCAAGCATCATACTTTGATACTACTTTATCTAGCTACAAAAATAAAACTTAAAAATAGTCTCTAGCAGAGGTAGGAGAGAACAAAGAGAAAACACCCTGAATAAAATTCAAGCTCCATAGAAGTTAAATGTATTTTAATCACTGATTTCAAAGTATCTGTGCTTTCAGCCACTACTCTTTCTCTATGAGAATCCAAGCAGTCACACAACAGATCCTCACACATGCAGAATCCACAGATGATGTTTTCTTTATGGAAGTGATCACTTTATATTTTTGTAACATGAACGTTATATAATTTTTCTAACTCTTCAAGGTTCACCATCAATATTATATGGCTTAAACCAGAAGAACTGTTGAATAACAATAAACTTACTTCTCCTTTGATTTATTCAAATTCAGCTTCATTGCAGCAATGGATATAAATGCTGTTTTGTTTTTTTCCACAGTGAAAATAAGGCTAGATACAGGGAAAAAAAAAAAAATAATTCTCCAAGGTAGAAAACCTACCTGAAAAACCTACCTGATATCTCTATATATATTCAAGTGTCATTTTTGCCAGCCAACACTTAAACAAATTCTGACTTTGCAAATGGAACATTTACAAACATATATTTTATTTAGTTTTTAAAAATAATGTATTTATTGAAACGAAATGTTCTCTAGATGTGTCATATAGCAGATTTACTTAATTAGTTTGCATAACTAATCATCCTCTCTGTTTTGTATTTCTAGTGTTGTTGTGATTTTCGACCTTTATTTTACCCGGATGCTAACAGTTGACAAAGTAAAAAAAGAGCTGGTTTTGGGTATCAACACCAATGAAACTAATGTTACTCAGACTTTGAAAGTTGATGTGAACAGCATAAAGGTCACAGGTAATGCTAATAAACATTTTTTTTCTCTATATATATCCTTAAGAATGAGAGATAACATGAATAAAAACTTCAGCTCCCAAACAGCAAAGGAATTGCTACTTATCCTCATGAGTGCCCTCCTTCCACACTGCAGAACTTTCAGCAGCAGCTGAAAGAACCATTTAAAACCTTGTTGTCTAGAGAGTATGAGTCAGCATTGTGTATGTTCACTAAAGAGGGAGTAAAAGGAGTAAAATTAGTGATTTCCCAGTGAAAATCACTCAATTTCATCTCTTTTATGTAGCATAACATTTGTAAATTTGTTGTCCTTCAAATTAAAGCAATTAAGCCCCAACTGATTCATAACTAAATGCAATTATGATTTTGCTTTGTTAAAGAATGACAAAAAGGGCTCAGCCTCACAGTGAGTCAAGTTTCATTTATTGAAAAGATGTCAGTAAGAACAACAAACTGAATACAGAGTTTGGCTTCTGGAGAAGTATGTCCAAAGAGCTAAATCCATATTCTTCTAAAGCTTAGGAAAAGTGTAAATGGAAAAGAAAGGAATGTAGCTTTAAATACTAATTAGTTTTTAAATTATGCAAAAATAAAAATGTAGTGATTTTATGCAAGTACTAGAAAATTTATTGATGGCTAAGTGGAAGGCTAACAAGATCAGTGGAAATCCTTAGTTTTACGTCGGTAAGCTTCAAAACAGACCTTCACTAAGGATGAGGATAAAAAGTATTTTGAATCCTTTGAAGTAGAAGTTGATTAGTTGACATCTGAAGACCTGCTGGAGGTACTATTGAATAGCAAATTATTGTTTTAAGAGGAGTGGGACATCTGATGTGCAATGTCTCCTGCTCTATTCCAAAAGGTGCATTTTTTGCTTAGTTCAGATATTCAAAGGCTAAATTTAGAGTCTTGACATCTGTATTTCCATTTCCTACTTGCACCGCATATAAGTTGTTCTAAATAGCTACATATCACTGTGGAAAGTGATTGCTCATTATACTTCAAAAATGCCACCAATGAAAATTAGGAAGAGCTTTTTAAAAGTTTGTGTTATCTATTGATGAACCTTGAAGTAGTCAGACATCTCCTGCTGTGGATCATTAAAACACCTCTTATCACATGAGATATCATCTGTCTATTGCACCAGGAGTGCTTCAGTAAATTAACAACAGTAACTAATTAAGAATCTTAATCATATATGGCATTTTTTTCATGCTATATCTCAGTATGTTCTGCAAGAGAAGTCTTATTCCAATTTCAGAAGGGGAGGCAACTACCACACAGGTGTGGCTTGCTTGAAATCAGTTGTCACAGTGATTAAAAGTAACTTTCTTTATTGCAAACTATCCCAGGTTAATTTTAACTCATTTATCTGATTAAATTACTATTCTATAAGACACAGGTGTTCTGAAAATCCTCATAGTATAAGAAGTATCAAGACAGATTTCCCCTACGAAGACATTTTATATGCCGTACAATAGGGACTGAGGATTGGAAGGGATTAATATAGACCTTTCCTCCTTAGGAAGATCATAGAGTTCGAAAAAAGGCTGGGAACAGGGTGAGGTGGTTAAAAGGAGGGAAGCAGGATGCTGCTAATGATTCAAAGAGAAATAGTCACAGTTGTTTTGTTTTGGTTTTTTTTTTTAACCTTTCTCTGAATTGTATAAAACTAGGTATTGCCCTATAAAAGGGGTTTACAATGTGCTTGCTTTCTTCCAGAAGCTGCTGAACATCTTACTACGATGGTGCCTTTAACTTCATCAGGTCAGTATCTTTCGTAAAATAGAAATGTTTTTTTGTTACCAGTACAATGCGAAGAAACATAAGCCTTCAGCTGGCATAAATTATTAAAGTTGTCTTGGCTGTAGTTGAGGCTTGACTGGTAGGGTCCATTCAGAACTAGTTAACTGTTCCTCATTGTTTCTTACCATTTTAGAAAGCAGTGATCTGAAGTCTATACAAAAGCTCTAAAAGGTCAATTAGTAGATCAGAATAAAAGTTGCAACTCCATCAACCAGTTGAATCACAAGCTGAAGTTTTTGTAGATTTAGGCAGGTAGGTGAGGCTGAGGAGGCCTACTCTCATGCTGTGGCTAACAATAGATATACTAAGCAAAGCTGATAGAATTTCCTTCCTCTATCACTGGAATTCTTATGACTGTAGGGTGTGACACAGACACAATTTGGTCTCACAAATTCACTGAGTATAAACCTGCCAAAAGTCAGTCAGAGAGCTGAATAATACAGTAGGTGCTCCATAGCGCTAGATGCAGGTTGAGTTGTCTCATATAAATTGCCACATACAAATTCTCCAGGGCAGGGTACCAGACCAGGAGCTTCACACAATTTATGTGAGCTAAAGAAATGCACCTATGGAGTCCAAGTGTTTATTGATAGTCTAATTCCAGCTATAACAACAAGAGTTATTATCGCTCTAGTTACAGCCCTGCTAACGTTTGTAGTCTGAAGTGAACAATCACTAAAACTTATTCCCAATGATATAGTTAAAACTGCTAAAATATAAGTTTTCTCCTATCTGTCCCTTCCTCTGGTATTTCAATGCTCCCCTGAATCCTAAGTTCCATGTTGCTAGTCATCCTCTAGAAGAAACTGAGAGGCAGGTGGCAGAGGAAGGAGGAAGGGAGTTGGGAGCTGTCAGCACTGCTGGCTGAAATGGAAATTATGTCCTTGGTGTGGATTACTTCCCCCTTGGTCTTGCGTTTACTTTGGGTCAATTTAGTATGTTTGCTAACACTGTCTGCTTCCTTGCTCTTTGTGTTTCAGTCCTAAGCCCATGATACACCCAAGTTTTAACATATGTGATTTTAAATTTATAGGAAAGTGTACGTATACATTTTAGTACTAATATTAGAGTTGTAACTTGTCTTGTTTCAGCAGAGCCCATGAGTCCTATTACAAGCTCTCTGACACCAGCTTCAGATCAGAACTTTTATATACCAGGGGAAGACAAAGCATTGCTGTTATTTTAATGGGGGGGGGAAGTCATTGAAGTTATTGATAAGCATGTGACTAGAGGAATGAGATTTCAGATGTACTTGGTCTCTACACTATTTGCCTTACATTTATTGTGACAGTTGACTTTAGAATCAAGCCAGTCAGGCTGACATTGCCGTGTCACTCTGTACACTGCGATTTGGTGAAAAGGCAAATATTGCAGATGTAAGAGCAGACTGGCTGCTGCTGAGCTCTGCCCAAGCTATGGCAGAGGTGCTCCCAGACAGCAAGAAGTACAGTTCTAACTTTGGACTTTGTCTAGGTTCAGGACAGCTCACCACAAGCAAGTCCTCAACAACTCTAGGTAGGTAACTGTGTATGGGGAGAAGCAGGGATGTTGTATGATACAGTCTGATATCTTAGAATTACGCTGTTTGTGTACAGCCTCTTCTTGCACCATTCAATTCTTGCATCCCATTCCCACAAATACAAAATATGTGGGTTGACATTTTGGCTAAGGAGTCCCTTTCAAAGAAAAGGGACTTTGAAGACTGTACATACTACAGAAGTGGTATACGTGTTATGTATATCGATTTATATATTGAGACTCATCATGACTGCTCATTTTTTGTTTCCTGTTTTTTACTTTGGGCTTTAAAAAAAAAAAAATAATAAACCTCCTAGCAAACTCTCAAATGCTTTCTAATGGACAGAAAGTCAAAGCAGTTTGAATCTTTTGAAATCTCCCCTAGCCTTACTAAATGGTGAAATATCTATTACATTTATAAGCATTTTCAAATGGGTCTAATGTATTTTCTGACATTTTTAGTTGAGTATAGAAATTACATTGCAGTTTAGAGTAGTTTACTGTTAAGAAAAAATGCATTAGTAGAAAATGTTAATTTCTTTCTATCCAGTAGGTGGCAATGCTGCTTAGTTTTCCGAGTTGAAGAATAAAACTAGAATTGATTATGTCGTATGTAAACAACGTTTAATTGCATACCGGGCTTGTGCAAAACTTCTTCCTGGATTATTGGTTACGGGTTTCTTCTGAGTCTAGAATGCACAGTTTCATCTTTGCTCATCTGTGGCAATTCATTCATTGGCACAATATCACCTCCAACACTTCATTAAAGTATGCTTGGTGTGCTTCAATTACCAATTGGATACAAAATGGCAGCTCTTTTGCTTTACAATTTCTGCATTGCTAACACTGAAAGGTTTTTTTAAATCACTTTAAAATGTTGCAATGCATCCAAACCAATTTCAGTCTTTCACTTCAGTCACTTATACTGGTAAAAACACAGTATCATACGAGCATTTACTCAATCTGGTTACAGAGCCAACAGTTTTATGAAAAAAACAAACAAACAAACCCACAAGCAATAATGCTTAGAGGCTGAAAGATCAGTTTTACAGATTAATATATTTCCTTCTTACATAAACATATTTTGAGCTTTGCCAATGCATGAATAGTTCTCAGAGAATTTCAAAATTAGTGGTTATCCAAAGCTCACTTTAGTTGCATGATTTTGTTCAATTTCTTGAATCCTTTACTTGAATTCACTTTACTTGAATCCTACAGATGTCTAAGGACAAAACCATCTGAAACCTAAAACAGCATGTTTGTAACGGATGAACATTTATGCTCTACAGAAAAGTTAGTAATATTCCACAATTTTGAGGGCCTGCCCATGTATTCTTTTTTTGCAGAAATTTGCTCTTAACTTATAAATTTAATTTCAAAATCTGAAAAGAATAGAATTTCTGATATTCCTGGTATTTAAAAATCCAGTCCTACAGGATAAAAAATGAGATTCTTTAGCATGATGAAGTACAACTTTGTGATGTGTTGAAACTGAAGAAATTAAATTAAATTGTATTCAACTAAACCCAGAAATTTTTCACTGTTATTTAAAACAAAGTACATTTTTTCTCATGTTATTTAAGCATCAGAAGTTGGAAGATATCATTTATTGTATCGCATAAAGTAGTTTATTTGGGTTGAGGAAGGAAATAGGAACTTGTGGAAATTTTCTTCTAGCCTTACTTCAAGCTTAGTTGCAAGATATGTCACTTCTGAGAAATTCCACCATCCTGTGCCAAATTTTTCTTTTTAGTATGTGGTATTTCATTTCAGGCTTCTAAAAATGCAGTTCTGTAAAACACAACAGAGTGTTTGATTTGATTTGTGCTAAAATAACCAGAGGTAAGTCAATTTTTCTTTATAGTGCAACTGCATTACTGCTGAGCTGTTATTGCTATTGTCCTTATCATTTCAGCTGAGTGTTTGCCACCTGCT